AAATGAATCACTTCACCCTTTTCCGTGCTGAATTCCATCTGCCACTTTTTTGCCCAGCTCTGCATCCTGTCAATGTCCCATTGCAACCTACAACAGTCCTCCACGCTGTCCACAACTCCACCAACCCTCGTGTCATTGGCAAACTTACTAACCCACCCTTCCATTTCCTCATCCAAGTCATTTATAAAGGTCACAAAGAGCAGAGGTCCCAGAACAGATCCCTGTGGAACACCACTGGTCACCGAGCTCCAGGCTGAATACTTTCCATCCACTACCACCCTCTGTCTTCTATTGGACAACCAATTCTGTGTCCAGATAGCCAAATTTCCCTGAATCCCATGCCTCCTTATTTTCTGAATAAGCCTACCATGGGGACCCTTATCAGATGCATTGCTAAAATCTATATAGACCACATCCACTGCTCTACCTTCATCAATGTGTTTTGTCACATCCTCAACGAATTCAATAAGGCTTGTGAGGCATGACCTGCCCCTCACAAAGCCACACTGACTATTTCTAATCAAACTATGTTTTTTCAAATAATCATAAATACTATCTCTCAGAATCCTCTCAAATAATTTGCCCACCACAGAAGTAAGACTGACTGGTCTGTAATTCCCAGGATTATTCCTATTCCCTTTCTTGAACAAGGGAATAACATTTGCCACCCTTCAGTCATCTGGTTCTACTCCAGTGGACTGTGAGGATGCAAACATCGTTGCCAAAGGCGCTGAAATCTCTTCCCTCGCTTCTGGTATCAACCTTGGGTATATCCCATCTGGGCCAAAGGATTTATCTATCCTCATGTTTTTCAAAATTTCTAGCACATCCTTCTTCCTGACATCAACCTGTTCAAGCATATAAGCTTGCTTCACACTGTCCTCACAAACGTCAAGGTACCTCTCACTGGTGAATACTGAAGCAAAGTATTCATTAAGGACCTCCCCTACCTCCTCCGACTCCACGAACAAGTTCCCTCCACTATCCCTGATTGGCCCTACCCTTGCTCTGGCCATCCTCTTGTTCCTCATGCCTTGGGGTTTCCTTAATCCTACCTGCCAAGGCTTTTTCAGGCCCCTTCTAGCTCTCTTAAGTCCATTCTTCAGTTTCTTCCTGGCTACCTTTTAACCCTCTAGAACCCTGTCCGATCCTTGCTTCCTCAACCTTCAGTAAGCTTTCTTCTTCTTCCTGACTAGATATTCCACACGTCTTGTCATCCAAGGTTCCTTCACCTTACCATCCCTTCCTTGCCTCAGTGGGACAAACCTATCCAGTACTCAAAGCAAGTGCTCCCTAAACAACCTCCACATTTCTGTCGTGCATTTCCCTGAGAACATCTGTTCCCAATTTATGCTCCGCAGTTCCTGCCTAATAGCATTGTAATTCCCCCTCCCCCAATTAAATACTTTCCCATACCGTCTGCTCCTGTCCCTCTCCATGACTATAGTAAAGGTCAGGGAGCTGTGATCACTATCACTGAAATGCTCTCCCACCGAAAGATCTGACACCTGGCCTGGTTCATTGCCAAGCACTAAATCCAATATGGCCTCCCCACTAATCGGCCTATCTACATACTGAGTCAGAAATCCCTCCTGGACACACCTGACAAGATCTGCTCCATCCAAACTATTTGCGCTAAGGAGGTTCCAGTCGATATTAGGGAAGTTGAAGTCACCCATGCTAACAACCTTATTATTTCTGCACCTTTCCAAAACCTGCCTCCCAATCTGTTCCTCAGTGTCTCTGTTGCTACTGGGGGGTCTGTAGAAAACTCCCAATAAAGTGACTGCTCATTTCCTGTTTCTAACTTCCACCCATACTGACTCAGTGGACAAACCCTCCTCCACGACCTCCCTTTCTGCAGCTGTGATACCATCCCTGATTAGCAATGCCACTCCCCCACCTCTTTTACCTCCCTCCCTATTTCTTTTCAAACATCTAAAACCCAGAACATCCAGCAACTATTCCTGCCCCTGTGATATCCAAGTCTTCATAATGGCGACAACATCGTACCTCCAAGTACTGATCCATGCTCTAAGTTCATCACCCTTATTCCTGACACTTCTTGCATTAAAATAGACACACTTCAACCCGTCACACTGACTGCAACTTTGCCCTCTCAACTGTCTATCCTTCCTCACAGACTCTCTGCCTATTCTATCTGTCTGTACACCAGCTACCCCATCCTCTGATCCGTAGCTCCTGTTCCTATCCCCCTGCCAAACTAGTTTAAACCCTGCCAAGGAGCTCTAGCAAACCTCCTGCCCAGGATATTGGTGCCCCTCCAGTATAGGTCCCACCTTCCCCAGAAGGTATCCCAATGATCCACATATCTGAAGCCCTCCCTCCTACACCAGCTCTGTAGCCAGGTATTCAGCTGCACTCGCTCTCTATTCCTAGCCTCACTAGCCCGTGGCACCGGTAGTAATCCTGAGATTAATACTCTGCTCGTCCTGCCTTTTAGCTTCCAACCTAACTCCCTATATTCACTTTTCAGGTCCTCATCCCTTTTCCTAGTTATGTCATTGGTACCAATGTGTATCACGACTTCTGGCTGCTCTCCCTCCCCCTTAAGAATCCTGCAGACTCGATACAAGACATCCCTGACCCTGGCACCCGTGAGGCAACATACCATCCGTGAGTCTTGTTCGTGACCACAGAATCTCCTGTCTGTTCCCCCAAACATTAAATCTCCTATCACTGTCACTCTCCTATTCTCACCCATTCCCTTCTGAGCCACAGAACCAGGCTCAGTGCCAGAGACCTGGCCACTATGCCTTTCCCCTGGTAGGTCCCCACCCTCCAATATATCCAAAGTGATATACTTATTATTGAGGGGAATGGCCACAGGGGATCCCTGCACTGTCTGCCTATTCCCTTTCCCTCTCCTGATGGTCACCAGCTACCTTTTTCCTGTACCTTGGATGTGACCACCTCCTTATAACTCCTCTCTATCACCCCCTCAGCCTCCCGAATGATCCAGAGTTCATCCAGCTCCAGCTCCAGTTCCCTAACACGGTCCGTGAGGAGCTGGAGTTGGGTGCACTTCTCGCAGGTGAAATCAGCAGGGACACCAGTGGTGACCCTTACCTTCCACATCCTGCAAGAGGAGCATGCATCTGCCCTAGCTTCCATTTCCTCTGTTCTAAACTGCCAAGAGATAAGGAGAAAGAAAAAAAATACATCTGTTGTAGAAAAAAATGCTAGAATCTATTATAAATGAAGGGGTAAGCAGATACTTGGGATGACTGTGATCCATCTGGGTATAGTCAGCAGCCTCCGATGAAGCATCGGTGTGTTTTCCCACCTGGTTTTTAAACTCTGGGGTCCGTTGAGCTGGATTGCCTCACTTCCGGTTTTCCTTCGTAGTGGAATGTATATGGGGTCAAGTTTTATGTGTTTATTAATAGCATGTTTCATGGAGTGCCAGGCTTCTAGGAATTTTCGTGCCTGTCTCCCACCTACCTTGTCCCAGGATCTTGGTGTTGTCCCAGTCGAATTGGTTGTTCTCCTTGTCCATGTGGATTGAGATGAGTGAGTATTGGTCGTGTCTTTTTGTAGCCTTTTGGTGTTCATGTACCCTTGTTGTTAGTTTCCTTCCTGTTTGTCCGAACACCAACTGGCTACAAAAAGACACGACCAATACTCACTCATCTCAAGCCACATGGACAAGGAGAACCACCAATTCGACTGGGACAACACCAAGATCCTGGGACAAGGTAGGGAGAGACAGGCACGAGAATTCCTAGAAGCCTGGCACTCCATGAAACATGCTATTAATAAACACATAAAACTTGACCCCATATACATTCCACTACGAAGGAAAACCGGAAGTGAGGCAATCCAGCTCAACGGACCCCAGAGTTTAAAAACCAGGTGGGAAAACACACCGATGCTTCATCGGAGGCTGCACTGAGGATGTTACCAAGCATGGTAACGAAACATCTGCGGAACAACAAACCGGCTCGGTGAGCCAACCACCTCAACACCCACAACCCGAGCTACAAATCTACTCCAAAACCTTAGATAGTCAGCAAGGATTGTGAATGGAGAATCATATTTGATGAACTTGGCATTTTTTGAAGATGTTACTAACAAAATTGATGAAGGAGAGCTGATGCATGTAGTCTGTTTGGATTTTCAAAAGGCTTTTGATCGAACTCTGTGAATTCTTGGAGACCTAATTTGCATTTCCAGATTATGTTCAGTCAGAGTTTTGTTTTATTATTCATTACAATGATCGACTCTTAAACATAACTGTTTTAGCATAAAAAATACGGAACCTTTATAGAACTATCACGTCATGTCTATAATCGAACCCTCACATGTCAAAAGATACAAAACAAACCAAAGCACTGCGGATGCTGCAGCTCAGAAACAAAAAAAACACAAATTGCTGTAGAAACTCAGCAGGTCTGGCTGCATCTGTGGAGAGAAAGCAGAGTTAACATCTGGGATTCAATGACCTTCCTTCAGATACGGCCAGAACTGCTGAGTTTTCCGCACAATTTCTGTTTTTGTTTCTGATGTGAAAAGATATTTAAACATATAATTCTGGATATCGCTCATTCTATCCAATCCAGCTTTGCCAGAGGTTTTGTTACACTAAAACAGCAAGTCGATGGACGTATCAACGGTGTTGCTTTTGAAAGGATCTGGTGGAACAATACGTATTAGTTTCGAACTGAAATAACTGCGTAGAAAGAAAACAGAGACGTCGGAGATGTTCTCCTGCCAACACAAAACCTTGTGTTTCTGAGGAAGGGTCATTAGACCCGAAACATTAATTCTGATTTCTCTGCACGGATGTTGCCGGACCTGCTGAGCTTTTCCAGCAATTTCTGTCTTTGTAACACAAAACGTTGCTTTACTTACGCAGTGCTGTCAGCAGATGACGTGCAGATATATAAGTGCCTCAGTGCAAACAACAGTGGTCATTCGGTTCGACAACAAGAAACTGGAACCTAACTGGAATAACGTGTTCTTTCTTGGAGACGGCAATGATTTTGGACAGTCTCGTTGAAAGAAACTTTTCTCTGGATGCGTGGAGTGTAAATTCCTCAGGAAATGTGAGCGAGGTTTTCGAGCTCCCGTTGTACAACAGACAGATCAAGATCATCTCCATGACGGTCATTTTCAGCCTGGCTTTGATAGGTAACCTGGCGGTGCTGCACAGGAACTATTGCAGCAAAAGCAGGAGGCGGAAAATGGATGAACTGGTCAGTAATCTGGCTGTGGCAGACCTGTGTGTCTCTGTCCTGCTCTTGTTGGCTCAGATCATCCAGGAGGTGCTGGAAGAAGAATGGCAGGCTGGAGATCTCGCGTGCAAAATGTTGAAAGTTTTCCAGGCTTTTGGACTGATTGCTTCTTCCGGCATCATTGTCATTGTCGCGTTGGAACGGCACCATGTAATAGTCAACCCGCTGGCATCTCCTCTCCCTACCAGGATCCTGACTGCTATCATTTGGATCGGTGCTTTCGTGCTGTCAATTCCGCAAGCCTTTGTCTTCAAACTGACAGTGCAGCAAGGCAGGGAGAAATGTCTGAGCGTGTTTGGACACCTTCCCAAATGGCACTTCCAGCTATATATCATATTTGGAGCTGTTACTGTGTTTTTGGCTCCCTTTTGCACCCTGTGTGTGGCGTACACCAGAATCCTCTGGACCATTTGGAGGCAGAAGCAGCACATCGGAGACTGCAAAGCAAGTGAAAATGTTGACCAAAAGCAACAGAGAAAGATCCAAATTCTCGGTACCAACTGCTCTATTCCAAGAGCCAAAGTGAAGACTCTAAAGATGACTTTGGTCATGATCATATTCTTTATAATCTGCCGACTACTTTATTTTGTGATAGAGATGAAAGTTGCCTTCGGGACCATCACTGAGACAGACACCAAGGTGATTACAGTTTTGGGAATCTTTGTGGTTTCCAACAGTGCTGGCAACCCATATGTCTATCTGTTCTTCAAAACCAACAATGTCTACTTCAGACGACTGGAGAAGAGCGTGTGTTTCACCTGTCTGAAAGATTACAGAGAGAACACATTTCACAGGGAACTGTGCGCAATTGGCAAACGAGTAGAGCAGTCTAGCGCGACCACTACATCATCCATACAATTCCCTTTGTCAGACTCTTGTGTCTCAACAGGGAGCTCATATCCTGAGGGAGTTCTGTCTGAAGAGCGCATTCCCCAACCGGCATCACTGTCCACTGCTGACAGTAATCATTGTTATTGATATTCTCAAAGTATGTCAATTATTTCTACAGAACCCTTTACATTCTTCCAGGCAAGATGACGATGAAATAGGGTAAAACCCTCGATTATTAAAAACCTTGTTTTCCCCGACAATCGGCATCATCCGTTCTTTGGTTGGATTGATATCCGTTCATCTTCCAAGGCTGGGAACCCCGGCAAATGGATCTGGTGTCGTTCGTTTCCTGCAGTGTTAAAGTCTGTGAATCTCTGCCACATTTTAATACTTCTCTTCGGCTCCAGGTAACAGTCGCATATTTCACGTTTTGAACTGGGCCCCGAAATGTAAAAAAAAAGGGAGGAATCGAAACAAATCTTCTCAGGCTGCATGCTTTCAAACAAAAAATCTTACAATAATCTAAGGAAACAATGCCGTTTATAGCTGAATTACACGGTTTTATTCAAATTGTATGCAGTGTTTAAATGTAATTGGTGAAGTTTCCAAACATTCATATCGACTCAAAGTTGCTGCCAAAAATAACAACAAAAATGCAGTTCACCGTTGCTCTGCTTAATACAGCTGCGGGTAAGATGCGCAATTAAATTCAGAAAACAAAAAGTTGCTGTTGGAGATGTAGCAGTCCACTTTTTGAATCTAAAAACCTCGTTTTCCTTTCTTGGTCCCTATTCAGCGCGATGGAGCAGAATGAAGTTATCACAGCTAAGCTATCTCACCACACAAAGCTAAGCCAAGCTATTTCAAATCTTAAGTACTTATTTTGATAAGCTTTAATTATCGCTAACTAAACTCTCTGCCATTAAGAATCAACATTACAACTTCAGAATCTCACTTCTTCAGGTTTTGTAGTCAGAAATTTTTCAATTCATGATTCTAAATTATTCTTCCTTATTTAGGTCTACCAGATTGGAGAAGGAGATACGGAATTAGACCATAAATTATAGGAACAGAAGCTGGTCATTCAACCCATTGAGTCAGTTTTACCATTCAATCAGATAATGGCTCATCTGATAATCCTCAACTCCACATATTGTCCATAACTCGATTCCTCTAATAATTTAGAAATTACTTCCTTCAATACACTTCACAGTCCTCAAAGGCGAAGAATTCCACAGATTAACTACCTTCTGGCTGACTCTTTACTCCGATGTTGCACTCTAGTCTTAGACAGTCTCCCAAGGGGAAAGATCTACCCTGTCATGACCGCTAAGAATCTTAAATGTTTCAACAAGCTTAACTGAAAAAAAAGTGCCGATGGGCTGATGCTGCAAGACCTGCTGAGCTTTTGCAGCAATTTCTGTTTTTGCTTCTAAGTAGGTGTTGGGCAGTTGTTTGCACGGTTCATTTGAATCCTTTAAAGGCTGATTTCAACTCACACCTTCAGCGACTTATCGCACAAGATATAACACATTAAATGGGCAAGTGCAGGTCTAACTAATTGCATGCACGATTCATTGACCCATTACGGCAGTAGTCTCCAAACGTTTTGAGCACAAGATTATTTTTTTGAATTTAAGTGTAACTCAGGATCTACTCTGAAGAAAATAAAGATTTTTATTATTTAATAAGTCTAAAATCAAGCACATATACTTATTCACTTTGCACTCTGCTCACCATGACTGCACATTATCTGTCAGTGTGTTGAAGCCTGAGTTGTAGCTTTAGGCTGCTAATAATACAACTACATCAAATGCGTGTCTGAGAGGTTTTTTGTGATGTTTGGACTCGCTGTCTGGTAGAGGTAATTAGAGTCAAAGTAAGCTTTCACCTTAAAAGTACAGGATGAAGAAGGGGGTATTTTTCCTTGGAGTCCCCAAAAATCACTGTCCCCTGATCTGACTTTCAATATAATTTTGCATATTAATTATCTCCATATCAACTCCACTGCTTTGTGAATTAAATGCCCAATAGCCAACCCAACAATGTCTACTTGAAGGAACTGTTTGTTCCATCATAGCTAATTCCTGAAAACAACCCATTGAACTCCACTGCTAACTTCCTCAGCTGTGCACACAGGCTTTCTGGTTGAAATTATTATTTGTCTTAGAATTTTTTCTGGCATTTAGTCTAGACTTGGGAATGTTGCAACATTTCATTAATGTAAGTAGGAGGACCAGAGGCCCAGTTTTAATTTGAATGTATTAACAGCACTGATCAGATGTATAATATCACTGTCGAAATCAGTTCATAGTTCAGATCATTCAGTTTTGGCAATATGTGTGTTAAGGAAGTCAAGCAACCACATATAATCTAACAGCTCATTGCATAAATCAAGGAATGAAGTAAGAAAAGTGGTGATTTCCAACATCCAATCTTAAAATCTTTGCAGACACATTCCTTGACTTAATCAGCATGGAGGATTAGTTCAACATAGGCAGCATCTAATTTGTCAAGTAAGGATTTACACAAGAATACCTGAATTGAATTGAGTTTATATTCTTGACAAGAACTTGCATTACATGAGCAAAGTTCATAACATGACCTACTACTTGCTGCTACATTACATAGTGATATTTGACAAGAAGAGAAATCATAATTATTTCTGCAAAATGCATCAAAGCTTACAATTTGTGTGAAGCATGGCTAGTACATCATCAGATGTGCTCAACCACTTTATATTTTTTGAGATTTTTTTCTTTACCAACAATTATATCAATTGATATTTTGTGGCGGTGGTTGCAGAGTTGCTCGCCGAACCGGTGTGTTTGATTGCAGATGTTTCATCACCCTGCTAGATGACATCATCAGTGCACCTCCAGTGATGCATTGGTGTTCTGTCCCACTTGTTACTTATTTGCCTCGGTTTGCTGGGGTGTTTGGTATTACTTGCGGTTTTGTTCTTCGGTAGTTTGAACTGGACCCAATATACATCATTTCTGATGAAGGGTCTAGGCCCAAAACGTCAGCCTTTCTGCTCCTATGATGCTGCTTGGCCTGCTGTGTTCATCCAGCTCTGCACCTTGTTGTCTCGGATTCTCCAGCATCTGCAGTTCCTACTATCTCTGATCCAATATACAATGTGTTTGTTAACAGAGTTTTGGTTGGAATGCCACCCCTCCAAGAATTCCCTAGCATGTCTCTGCTTGGCTTGTGCTATTATGGATGTGTTGTCCCAGTCGAATTCGTGTCCTTTATTATCCATGTGTATTGAGACCTGGGAGAATTGGTTGTGTCTCTTGGTGGCTAGTTGGTGTTCGCGGAGGAAGAAAACTGGCAATAAGGATACACGAACACCAACTAGCCACCAAGAGACACGACCAATTCTCACTGGTCACAATACACATGGATAATAAAGGACACAAATTTGACTGGGACAACACATCCATAATAGCACAAGCCAAACAGAGACATGTTGGGGAATTCCTGGAGGCCTGGCATTCCAATCAAAACTCCATTACCAAACACGTTGTATATTGGGATAACAAGGTGTACAGCTGGATGAACACAGCAGGCCAAGCAGCATCAGAGGAGCAGGAAAGCTGACGTTTCGGGTCTGGACCCTTCTTCAGAAATGGGGGAGGGGGAAGGGGATTCTGAAATAAATAGAGAGAGAGAGGGGGAGGCTGATGGAAGATGGATAAAGGAGCAGGTAGGTGGAGAGGAGACGGACAGGTCAAGGAGACGGGGATGGAGCCAGTAAAGGCGAGTGTAGGTGGGGAGTTCGGGTGGGGGTTGGTCAATCCAGGGAAGACGGACAGGTCAGGGAGACGGGGATGAGGCTGGTAGGTAGGAGGTGGGGGTGGGTGTTAAGGTGGGAGGAGTGGATAGGTGGGAGAAACGACGGACAGGTTAGGGAGGCAGGGACAAGCTGGGCTGGTTTTGGGATGCGGTCGGGGGCAGGGAGATTTTGAAGATTGTGACGTCCACATTGATACCATTGGGCTGCAGGATTCCCAAGCGAAATACGAGGTGCTGTTCCTGCAACCTTAGGGTGGCATCGTTGTGGCACTGGAGGAGGCCCAGGATGGACATGTCGTCCAAGGAGTGGGAGGGGGAGTTGAAGTGGTTCACGACTGGGAAATTGTATATTGGGTCTGTTCAAATCACTGAAGAACAAAACCAGAAGTAATACCAACCACCCCAGCAAACTGAGGCAAATAAGTAACAAGCGGGACAGAACACCAACGCTTCACCGGAGGTGCACTGACAATGTTACCTAGCAGGGTGACGAAACGTCTGCAACCAAACACACCGGCTCGGCGAGCAAGTCTGCTAACTCATCCACGACCCTACAAATCTTCTTAAAAACTGTAAATTTTGTGGCTGTGTTAATCAAGTTGCACCTTTTAATATTAACATTTTTCACAGATTAATGTGGGTGGAAATACAGTGCAGAGCCTTTTACAGACGTATACATAAATCTTGAGCTGGTGGAAGCGTCCATCCAACTAGGAAACTCTGAAGCTGGAATTTGTCTCTCCAGTTAATCTGGACAACATACTAGTTAATCGTCAATGGCCTCATGTACAGGAAAGAGACCTGGACAATATTTCATGTTATTCCAAGCAACAATGACAATACACTTTGAAACTGTGAACAAAACTCCCAATAAACATCTCAGTGATTAAAGATGCATGGAATAAACAAAAAAGTTAGACGAGAACAATTATGGTATCAAAATATCATGATTTAAAAACATTAATTCATAGAAATCAATACTAACAAATGAAAGTCATGCTGTAAAAAAGCCATGTAGGTATGCCACAGTAAATCAATAAATTCAGAGTCATGGACATCAGAGGTTAACAAAACTCTAACCATTACATAATTTTTTTTTAAGTGGAAAAGACAATGACTTTGGTTTTGGCAATGTTTAATTGGAGAAAATCACAACTTATCTGGGGCTAGATATGGGGGACTGGGGGGGGGGGTGGGGGGGGGGGAGGAGGACAGAGGTAGCAGAGGATTACAGAGTTGGTGATGGAGGTTGAATTAAGTATCATCAGGATACATGTGGAAATGTGTTGTTGTGCTTTTCAACATTAGTTGTGAGGCAACGTGTAGATAAGAAATTGGGCTGGGCT